GCGAAATTGCATAGTGGATTTCGATGATATTTTTGGTTTTGTTTGATGGGATCAAATCTATTCAGTTTTGATGTGTAGTAAAGGAATACATGAAACGAAGAATCCTATATATATTTCGAATTATATCAGTAACAAATTGTCACGATTTTGTGGATGAATTTTGTGTTTAGGTAACAGTGTTCGTACCAAGTTTAATCATAATGTAGTTCGATATATTTTGAGTAATATTGTTGGACTATAGTGTAGGTATATAAAATGTATAGGATTCTTGAGTGTAAAGATGTTTCAATGATGCAGTTGGAAAATAGATAATGGTGCTGAAGCAATGCAAGCAGATACATTGCGTCTGAAAGTGTAACAACAAATATTATTTTGTACATGTAAATGAGAGATAGAATGGCTGAAAATTGTCCAGTGTATGTAAATGGCAAAATTTATTTTGTTCATAAATGTTCACGGGAACAAAAGATCCGTTAGTTCACGCATCGATTGCAATAGGAATTTAACCTTGATATCATTATCGACCCTCTTGTAATAATTGACAAGTTTTCTTCAATGTCAAAAATCGTGTGTACAGTATGGGTATTAGGATTTTTAACACGTGTATTATACATGAAATTTCAATGTTTCAAAATGTCGAAGTGCAAATAATATAAAATTAATGGGATCAGCAATGGAATTCCTTTAAGAAAATGAAACACTTAATACAGAGATCTATTTGATTCTCGAGCAAGTACTTTCGCATGCTATTAGTAGTTATATACTTTTTAACTACATAATCTGTTTTAACTGTCGAAGTTATAGAAAAAGATATTTATTTTATTTAATTGAAATTAATATAAGATAATTTGTGTGCTTTTCATTCGTCATACTAAGTAGCAATTTACTAATTTTATAAGTACTATCTTTAGAAAATTTAAATTACATCTCTCAAAAACCTAACAATATATCGGATCTAATAATTTAAATGTTCAATGAAACATATTTAATATTATACGATTATTTTTAATAATTTTTCATATATATTTTCATAATATTATAAGGCATAAATATTTATATTGTATATCTCATAGATTATAATATTATTCATTTTTAAATAATAAAAAGATGTAGGTATTCAAGTTCTTCTTACATTACTGTAATTCAAGGTGTTTTCTTATTAAATTTGCCACATCTAATGCTTAGAAGAGAATTCTTTCTGGCTGAAAAGCGTTGAAAGGAACCCAAAGGATTGCGAAGAAATTCTTTAATAATACGAAGTATGTAATCACGACAAATTATTAACAATACAATATTGGCCTAATACAAAATGTCTCCTACTTGAGTATTTCATTTTTTAAGTGTTAATTCCAATCACTGCGGCATCCAATTAACAGAAAAATTTAAACATTGAATAAGTGTATTGTTATTGGTGACACATGAAAATAATAATACAAACATCTTTTTAGCTACGTCCATTGTGAAAATCAGAAGGACATCACTTGTGTTATATGAATATCGTGACATATAGATGATGAATTAAATCGGTTAATCTTCATGTTACTAACACATAATACTAATGTTCTGAATATTTAAAAAATGAACATTCGGGGCATACTAATAAAACATAGGTTATATGATATACTTTTACAGACACCGTAGAATTATTGGAATCACGAGGAATATTCATGCTTAAATGGATCAATCAAAGAATAAAACAAATAATTAGAAAT